AGGTTGTTGAATCTTTTTACCATGTTTTAACTGTTAGGCCAGATAGGGACCGCGCGGCATTCCTATATATATGTTGATTATTGCTGATTATTGGTAAAAGCTTTTCGCTATAAATTGAGCCTGGTAATGGATTGCGTCGGTATTGCTTATATCTTGTATATAATGCATTAAAAATTCCCTTTCCTCGCAGCGTGCGCTGGAGGCCTAAGGTCTTAAATCTCCGACTGATGTCAATTCGGTCGCGTTTCGATCCCCTGCTTAAAGCAATCGCATGTCTCGACAAACTAATGTGCTGTGATATCGAATCAGTCTGTCCGAGGAAGATTATATATATATATATATATATATATATATATATATATATATATATATATATATATATATATATATATATATAATATTAGTGGTAAATACACATACATATGCAAAATATATAAATATATATGCATATATATTTTTTTGAAAAAAAAAAAAAAAAATTTCCAAGAGGATAGAATCCAGGTAGAACTCAATGTCCAGGACAGAGTAAGGATATAATAAAAACACTAATATTCCATGGTCATAATTTATTCCAATGGAATCGTAAATACGATCCAATTCATCAGACCTTTCCTCTCGTCTCTTACCCCTCTCTTTAGCTTTTTTACATTCGTCCCACACTCTCATACTTACACTCTCTCTAAATTCTATTTTTTATTTCCGGAATTGTTTTTCTGTTTTCTTTTTGAATTTGTAGGTCTGATGAATTGGATCGTATTTACGATTCCAGTGGAATAAATTATGACCATGGAATATTAGTGTTTAAGCCTTTTTTATTATATATATATATATATATATATATATATATATATATATATATATATATATATATATATATATATATATATATATATATATATATATATATATATATATATATATATATAGTTCCTTCTAATTCCTCATTTCACTACAAATAGCTTAGTATCATTATCAGCTTGCTTAGGGTAAATTGATAATATATGTACATCTCTATCTAGGTTTCGATCCTCGCTAGAGGCGTCTAGCCACACTGACGAGCCTTGATACAACGAAACAGTCTGTCTGTGGATGACAATATATATATATATATATATATATATATATATATTTATTTATTTATTTATATGTATAAATGTATAGATAATGAAAAGTCCACTAACTCATTCAATATATATATATATATATATATATATATATATATATATATATATACATGAATACTCATGTATATGTATGCATGTGTGTGTCTGTTATCGGTTTGGAGAGGACGATCCCAGCGTGCGGCACCTTTGGAAAGTGCCTGAAAACCATACCACGGGTTGACCCAAGCCTTGTAAGTGAAATTGAGCAGACGGAACCCTTGGGTGCCGTTGATAGCCTTGCTAGCATGAAGTCACAAGTCATCGTGACCGAGGGTTTGAGTCTGCTGGTGTTGTTCAGATTGCTGATCATTCTAGGAAACAACGCTCTCTCCCAGAAACTATAACTAAGGTCTGCTCAGCATAGTTGCTGTACAATCCACATAATACTTATTATAAAACCCAGGTTGTGTGTGTGTGTCTGTTCGTTTGTATATTGGATCGGATTTCCTATATTTTTCAATCGATTTCAACAAAACTTCACAGGACTACGTAAAATTACCTTGC